AGGCTGAGCCCCGTGGGTACATCTACACACCCTTGCAGAGACTTCAGAAGGAAATGAATGGGAAGAGGTAAACTGTTCCTGTAGGGGGATAGACCCTATTTTCAGGTGAAGATCAAAGGTCAGACCTGCTATGTGTGGTGGTGCAGAGACGCACCCTAAGAGCTTTCAGTCTGTGAAGCCAAGCGGACAATACGTTCAATCTTATCAAAGGGGGATCTCCGTCATCCTGGTTGAAAACACTGGGGCAAAGGACTTGAGGTAAGCTAGCCTGTAGGAGATGGGGGAATGGCTGGTGAGTCAAGTTTAGGCTTCAGCAGGTGTGTTATGATTTTCTTTGCCATATAACTATTTGCTTCCAATATTTGTACTTACTGTCTTTTGAATCTCTGTTCTGCAATGATGAACTTCATTCTGCCTTTCACCGCGTATACTTCCAAGTGCCGTGTGCTAAGCAGAGTGTGGGGATCTGGAGTTGAAGCTTGTATTCCCAGGGAGTAGCGGATCTCAGAGCTCTGCATGCGCTTGGTGGCACAGGGCCTGGGCACTCCAGCGGGATGCTGGGAGGACTCCCGGGTGGGTGCGTGCCTGTGGCTAACCTGTAGAGAGACAGCAAGGCCTGGAAGGCAGAGCTTGCATTGTCAGAGGCTGGGAGAGTGAGGGTGCTAATCTTGAGTAGGCACAGACCAGAAATCTTCGCACTAAGGGCAGGCGGTAGTGAGGGGGCTCACAAGTCCAGCTACCCCAGGAAACACCCTGGGAACCAGATTTTAAGAGAGATTTAGGCACCTAACAGATTGCCCAAAGCCCCTAACTCTCAGTGAGTTCCAGTGGTGCTTTTGAACAGCCCAGCAGGTACTCAAATACCATTGAAAGACTGGCCGATCCTCCCATTATCAATGGACGTTAGGAGCCTAAACACCTTTGGAGATCGGGCCCTACATGACTTGCCCAAGGTCACGTCAGCAGCGTGGGGGAGAGCGACAAACTGAACTTGAGGCTGAGTCCCAGGTTAGCGGTCTAACCCCCGGCTAACCCTTTTCCCTGCTAACACAAGCATCACTCACCTTGGTTCCAGCACCTGCACATAGCGCGCCTGTAACACCGCTGGGATGGAGTGTCCGCCCGGACTAGATCCTGGGGGAACAGCAAATGTCGAGCCTGGAGGACTGCGTTCATTTGCTCAGATGCTGTAATTAAACCACTTTATCTAAACAGATGCAAAACCCAACTGGAGGTTGCTTTTCAGTCCATTAAAACCGGATGTTCAGCAGTTCAGCTGAAGCCAGTTCCTCACTGAATTGCACGGCACTGTTACAAACCTGGGTAAATGGTTTGGGCTTGTCTACACTAGAAATGCCGCAGTAGTGCAGTGTAGGGGTTCTTCCGTGGGCAATGCATTTCCCCCAAGAGGCGGTAGCTAGGTCAAGGGACCTAGCGCTGTCTACACGGGAACTTAGGTCACTAACTACGTTGCTCAGGGTTGTGGATTTTTCATGCCCACGATGAACGTAGTTGAGTCCACCTAATTTTCTAGTATAGACGAGCCCTGAAGTCTAATTCAGTAAGGAATTGACTAACTATTTCAATCTGGTTGGTAAGAGTTTGGTGCAATTCAGGGATGGATTGATTTCAACTGAACGGCTGCAGATCCATTGTTAAACACCGAATGATGGCTGCAGTATTTAAGTTGATTTAGAGACCTTCCTTGGTTGTCGGACACGATGCTGGCCACATGGCTCCTTTGTGTACCCTTGGCTATGAAACGGATGCGTCTTAACTGTGTCAGCCCACTGAGCCGTTGGCTCGGGGGAACTTGGACTTTAGACAAATCCAGGCAACTGTGAGGGGAAAGCGTCAGTTGGGGCTGGTAACGCGCCACCGTAACGCCAGGTTTATTGAAGCACCTCAATAAAAGTCGGCTGATGGCTAAAAGGTGCTGAGCTCCCCGCAGCGCCAACGAGCGGCAATGGGATTTGTGGATGCCCAGCACTTCTGAAATGAGCAGCAGGCTGCTTCGAGCGAGAGACTTTACAGTCCCAGGATGAAGTTTGCTGGAGCCAGCGGATACGAGATGTGAAAGCCGTTGCTTTGGGTCGGGAATGGCCTTTGACACGTCTGTGAATGGTGCAGAACAGACATGGGAAGGCAAAAGGGATTGAGACCAGTCACTCCGCCTTCCTTTGGAAGCACATATGCAGGTAAACCAGGAGGCAGCACCTGGATAGACCTTTACCCTACAGTGCCCACCCCCAATTCAGCTGGCTGGGGGAGGAACGGACACATACGAGGTTGGGGATTTGGCCCATCTGCTGATCTCCCAAACAGTAGCCTAAGGAAGGGGGCGGGGGGGACAAAAAAAGGACCAAAGGCCAAACAGATCTTAAGAGACGGGAGCCAAACACTGTCCACCGGGGTAGAGAGCCGTGTGTGAAGCCCTATCCCTAGCGAAGTGGGCCCTGGACCATTCTTGGGGTTTGAGAGCACATTTGCTGCAACAGTCCCTTGCATGCGCTACACCAGCAACATGCCCAGAGGAACACCCACACAAACGCTGGGCCCTTGAGCAATTGAACTGTCTGCTGTAGCTCCAGCCCACTGGGGATAAAAGGGATCAAGAACGGTCTCCATTAGCACTGGGCAGTGGTGCCAGGACACAGAGGCCAGGCCTGAGTGAGAGAAAGGAGTGAAGTTCCGTGCCCTTCCTCAAAAGCAGGTTTGGTTCCGGCACAGGAGGGTCTGCGCTGGAGAATGACTATGTAAAAGTGGCATCTGGTCCGTGTGTATCCAGTCTGAACTACTGGTTGGCTTTAGATTACAATGGCCACTGGGTTTTGCCACTTGTGTTTGCCTTGCAGAACCAACACAGAAAGAACAGGAACTGGATTCTGCGCCTTCATGAGCGTAATCCAAATTCGTTACGGAGTCCAGATTAGACTATGCCGACACACCCACTACAGGCAATGAGGCGGCACAGAAGACCAAACCTGGCCTGCAAGGGCTGGAACCATCAGCAGCAAAGGCTTCACTCAGATGCACGCAGGACAATCTCTCGGAACAAGCCAAGAGCTCCTTAAGGAAATTGAGCAAAGACTGGCAAACACCTCCCTCTTGTGGCTATGATTCAGAACAACAATTAGATTAAGAGCGAGGTTGTAATGCAGAAAAAACACCCTTCTTATACCAAGCCAGGGAAGATTTCTGCTCTCCTTGCGCTGAGGAAGTTTTCCTTAGTTTGCAACAGAAGCTGGTGTGGATGTTTCCACAGGGAATATTCCAGGACTGTCCAGTCGGCTTTGGAAAGCTGGCGTGGTACCAATTAAAGAGCTCAGGACCACAGCCTCCAACTGCCAATGGTGGGAGTGAGACTTGAAAATGATTTGGGCCTTAGCGGGTATTTTAAAGATTAGCTTTATTTGGAGAAAACAAAACAAAAACAAAACAAAAAAACAAAAAGGGGATTTTACATAATAAAAGACATCTCCCAGGAAGTCCACTACAGATTACAAATCATTTTCATAGAAGATATTTTTGTACAAATTTTACATGTCTTCAGAATGTGTAAAACGCAACTCAATCAGTGTGACCCTGTCCCGACAGCAGAGGAGAGGGTGGGGAAGAGAATGCTGTTTTCAGATGCAATTTCGTGATAGTCACACCTCAAATACAGCCCCTGCATTATCTAGACCTACGCAATACCGTGTTTGAAATTCAGCTCTGCTGTCCCGGCGGTGGTCCCCCCGTGGTACGTGTTGACCCCTCAGGTTTAAGGTTTTCTGAAACTAGCTAAAAAAAGTGACTGAAAACCAACCAACTGCAGCTTTACAATGCATCAAATCCAGCACCTGATAGAGAGGAGCAGTGCTTTGTGAGTTTGCCCAGAAGAGAGAGACAGTCCTAAGTCACGAGCATTTGTGCAATTCTCCTCCCCCCAACTAAGGTAAAAAGGCGACAATTGCTGAATGGGTGCACACCTTGTCAATCAAAGAAGTATTGTCTGTTGTCTCGCAATCCAAATATGCTACACCATGAACGGGTTCTTTCTGAGAACCATATTCTTTAGAAGGCGGTGAAACCCTCATGCTGGTTTGACTATGCCATGAGATTACCACAACTCTGCCGTCAGCTCAGGAAACCTAGTGAGGGTGAATTAAAACGGCTAAAAAATTTAGAATCTGACTTTTAAGACCTTGCCAGTTTTAGGCCAGTGAATATGTAGGGACTGGAGAATCTCTCCTCAGTGGAAGTGTGGGTCAGGTATTCCTTGTACAAGGGCCTATGCCACCAATGCCGTCTGCCTGTTTGTTCAAGTGGAGGGAGTGAGTTGAACAAGCAGATGCAGAGGGGGCAGGAACACATTCTAGATGCACAGAGGCCTGCCCTACCGTGCATCTCGATAGCTCTACATGCCCAACCAGAAGAGGGAGCTCTCACTCAAGGAGAGGGGTGCTATTTAAAACGTGTGTGAAAGGGGTGACACCAGGTGATTAAAGAAGTGGGTAGAAGGTGGCTAAGGAGGGGAGAAGAGATTCCGAGACAGATACCAACCCATGGGAAGATGTCAGATCCTGAAAGTTTGTCAGTCCCAGCAGGGCTCGGAGGAAGCGAGCTGAGCGTTTGTGCCTCCAAAGGGAGGACTTTCACTACCTTGTTAGCATGCTTTGCTCTTTCCCAACTGACTGCTGTCTGAGGCTCTCCCCTCCCCAGGAGGCTGCCGCTGGTGTTCATCGGAAAGCCTGCCTGTTCTTTCCTGCATCAATTGGCCTGACCTGGTACATCACTTGCAGAGACGAGTGTCAGGATTCGAAGCTCATTTCAGAGACGGGCCCGGTTCAAAACCCCCTCTCTACCTCAACGTCTCATCCCATCCTCTGCTGTTGGGACAGCAAGACAGTCTCCTTCCCTAGTGCACTGGGTAATGCTTTGTATTGCACTGGGTTTTGGAAAGGAAGAGCTGGCCGTTTAAGGAAGGAAGCCAGAATAACCTCATGGACTAGATATCCTACCTTCAAAGTGATCATTTATTAAGGTAACATTGCAGAATTCATCCATTTAGGCTAGCAAGATGAGGGAGAAAAGCCAGTTCTTCCTTAATTAGCTGTCCTACTGCCCAATCTGCTCAGGCTTCTCCAAGACACCTGGCTGGCTAACATGTTAAACGTCCACTCTAAGTGACAGGGCCTATGCTCAAGTCACACTGGAAACCACGCTGAGTCGCCCTTTTCTTTTTAAAACTTGCACTTCTCTCTCGCTACACTTTGCAGAGATTCTCCAGTTAGTTCAATACTTTAAAGGCTGCAGCAGCATGCAAGAGAAATGGTTTCCTTTTGTTTTTTAAAAAAAGTTTAAGAAAGGTCTCCAGGAGATGTTGAGTTTTACATTTTATTTCTGTCTCGTCTGGTTTGGTTTGCTTTTCCTATGTTCCTGGGTGGCGATCGGCTAGGAGACAGCGCAGGGTCTGGAGATTTTAATCAGTGTAATTGTCTTCCTCCACTTCATCTTCACCATCCACTGACAGAGCAGCGTACTTGCTAACATAGCTGAACTTCTGCAAGAAATACAGCAGGTTAAACGGGGAATGAAACACCAGGTCAGCAACTCGGCAGCCTCTGTGTGACAGAGAGTTCAATAGCCTGACACTTCAGTTTGGATACATCATTTCATAGGAGAATCACACCCAGCTCCCACTACGTACCAAAGGGTTTTCGCTGTGGTTTTTAATCAAGGTATTTATACCCCACGCCCCTTACCATAGTATGCGAGTACTTCCCAAACAATGAATTTATCTTCCCCACATAAGAGGTAGAGGCGGAATAGCCTCATCTGACAGATGGGGAATAGAGAACAGGAGAAGTAGATGGCACTCGGGAAGTCCACGGAGCAGGTAGGAATCGAACGGAGGTTTCAGCCCTCCTCTCCCCACACGCTGCCCTGTGCTTCAAGCAGCAGCTAGTAGATTAAATGCTTACAGAGGCTGTATTCTCGTCGGGCTTCTTTGGCTCAGATGCAGATTGCGAGTCATGATCGTTCTTGCTTTCTTTCCTGCAAGAGTCAGAGTTTCAGTTGAACAAGCGTTCATTTAGCTGGAGGAGCTGCCAATGGAGCCAGTGCACCACTACCAGGCTACTGCTGTGCCCACGATAGGTGCACACTGGATTTGAAAGGGGTGCCAATCAAGGAGAAGAGAAAATGGCCAATTTCACGTCGAACGTACAGGCTAGCCATTGGAGTTTCACACAGCCTGGTTCTCAGCCCAGCGCTGACTGCTGACCAGACACAGCAGGCATCAGGCCCGTTAAGGAGGGACACTAGCTTTATAGATCCTCTGCAGGGGAATTAAGTCTGCACGTGCCTACTTCTGGTGGCGAGGGAGGCTGTGTAGCTATTTTACTGACTACTGCTAGACGATTAGGAGCTGGATAAGTGGACGAAGGAGGGAGTCCTGGCCCGTTCCCAAGGGCATGGCTAGTAACGTGCTCAGCTCTCTGACGTCAGCCCTTTCACATAAAAGCCACCTGTATGAATGCTCTAGCAAAAACCCAGGGACTTAAATGAGAAGAGAGGCATCATTGGGGCAGGGCAATGGGGGAGACGCTGACAAGGTGTCTAGGGAATGCAGGGGAAGACCTGAAGGGCTGGATTTTACCCTTCTGGTAAAGGCCCAAAATGAGCATTTTGAAGTTAGAGAGAACTAAAACCGAGGTCAGCTCAGGTGGTGCAGTGTTTTTAAAATCCCTGGCACAGTCTATTGTAACAGACCACCCCGTCTCATGCCCAACTGGAGAACGAGGAGTCATGAGACCATTACACCAGCCAGTGCTTTGTGCTTCAGTTGGCAGTGGGTGCTGAACCAGGCAAAGCCGGCTCCCAGCATGGAAGCATCAGCATTAGCATTACCAACGAGGCAGTAACAGCTCAGTACACAGATTTAAGGCCTGACCCCAGCGCTGCAGACGGCCAGACATGCCACACCTGCCGCTGGTTAGGTCAGAGGGGGCTGGTGCGGGACACTGGAATGCTGCTCAAATCTGAAACAGTCGTTGAAATAGGCCTGGCGGGAGGAGAAGGGGAAGATGAGGCACCCCAAGACAGACAGACGTACCTATCTGAATCTTGCCAATGATCTCTACTGCCTCCGTCTCCTGGGCCACTTCGACCTTTTGGAACGCTCTCCTTCCCCTCATCTGGTTTGTTCTCATCTCCTGAAGAAAAAAGGGCCGATGAAACCTTCCCTCTCACTAACATCGCAAAATCTCAACCAACCACTTAAGGCCTGTGTATCTGAACAGTTCCAGTGCAGCAAGCAGGGGCGTGCACTAGATGTCGGGTGGACCCTACTGCTGCACACTCGAAGTTCTGTCGTGCGTTTTTAGCAAGCCTGCGATACACATGGCACAACACTACCCCAAACAGCTTACAGTCAAGGCCCAAAATCCATCTGAGCCTTCCTACTGCCTGTTACCTGCTCCTCCCTATTGGCTCCACAGGGCTGGCTGTCCATGTTCGGAGGGATACCTATTCAGCCCAACTGGCCCCTTTGGCATTTCACTCTCCTAGTTTCTTTGCCTTCCTGCTTCCTCTTTTGTTTAGCGTGTCTTCTGTGACCCTCGGTTACTTAAGCAGCCTCCATGTCAAGTTAAGAATTTTAGGGTTCATCCATGACTTGCTTCTCCCTTTTATGAAAGCCTCTTTCTAGAACTCAGGGATCCCACAGGCAGTTTTGAGTATCCCTTCCCCCATAAGTAGGGCCCTACCAAATTCATGGTCCATTTTAGTTAATTTCACAGTCATAGGATTTTAAAAATCCTAAATTTCATGCTGCTGCTGGCTGGGAGCCCAGCTCTGAGAGCAGAGCTGCACCAGCAGCAGTGCAGGAGTGGGGCACGGGATGGTATTGCCACCCTTACTTCTGCGCTGCTGCTGGCGGGGCGCTGTCTTCAGAGCTGAGTGCCTGCCCAACAGCAGCCGCTCTTTGGCCACCCAGCTCTGAAGGCAGCGCAGAAGTAAGGGTGGCAATACCACAACCCCCATAAAACAACCTTGTGATCCCCCCAAAACTCCCTTTTAGGGTCTGGACCCCCAATCTGAGAAACACTGGTCTCACCCATCTGTAGAGTATAGGGTAAAAGCACAAAAGACCAGAGTTCACGGTCCAGGACGCGTTTTTCACGGCTGTGAATTTGGTAGGGCCCTATCCAAGAGGATCCGAGGTCAATTACATTACTTGGAAGATGCTTCCTGAACCATCTCGCACATGCTACTTCAGACCAAGGCCTCTTTATGCTTGCTCCAAAATGTGCTGTTTTCCAACAGTCTCCTACACAGGCCGTAGCCAGTGGCATTGTTGCTGTCTCTACAGCAGACAGAGGACCTGAATCTCTGTTCTCCTGGGCTGTTAATTCAGCACTTTTCAGGTTAATCCACACCCCAAACCAGTTAAGCCAGCGTTGAGGCAGGAGGCTTTGCAGTCACAACAGCAGGGGAAGTGAGGTTTCCCCAACCACACAACAGAAATGCAGACTAGGGAGGGGGTTACACTTTCAGACCCATGGCAGTTTTCCCTTTGCGGCTGGTCAAACATCTATGCGGACAAAGATGAGTGTTTGAATTCAGTCTGAAGGAACTGTCCATTTCTGCTCCCATCAATGCAGGGAGGAGACTGCTGCCCTCTACTGTCCAGCAAAGGAACAGCTTAAGGTCACTAGAACTTGAATAGAGTTTTTTACCCTTTGGTCCTGCTGAGATCCATAAGCCATACGAGCAATAGCAATTCCCAAACCTGGAACCACCCCTTAACTCCACAGTGCTAATGCCATAGAACTAAGGGCATCAAACCAGGGGGCAGCAGGGTTAGTCCACCTCAGTAATTCTCAACCCTTCTTGTCCTATAAGTGGAAACAAACCCTGACCGTACCTTTCCTGGGAGCACTCTTAGGTGGTGCTCTATCCTCCGACAGCAGGGCTGGTGCTGCCTGGCTGCTGCTAGGAAAAAAAGAACAAAACGTGAACATCAGGGACGCTGCATCCTCTGACAGGTGCCTGGGATACTGCTGACTTGGAGAGCTATTTGCTTCTTGACGAACCTCAGCCTTGGGTTTTCAGCAGCCACATGTGGGTCATACAAGAACCAACCAGAAGCCCCAAAACCAGACTCAAACCTGAGGCCACTGCCTGAAGCTAAGCTCTACAAGGTGCATGCTGCATTCACCATGGTTTCAGTGGAGAACAGAACAGCAGCTCATCTCCATGGGAGTTTTAACCTCCCTTCTGTAACTGGAGCTCCTTGCATGCATCTAGGGATGACAGATCAGACCCCAAGCAGGCACTCGGTACAAACACTCACCTTGTGGGAGAGTGCTGCTCCGTGTCAGAGCTCAGGGAGCGGGCAGGGGGGTTGCTGCTGCGTTTAACCCAGGCGTTCTCCTTCGGCGGTGGTGCTGGCATCACTTTCAGAGGGAGCTTCTCTTCCTTGGGGGTCTTGGAGGTGGGAGACGGGGCATCATCCTCTTTGCTGAAGGTTTCATTTTCCAAGGACTTCTCGCTCTCCCTCCTTCGGGTGGCTGTAAAGACAAGAGATAGCTGTGAGCACAATGGACGTGGACAGGCAAGACTTCCCCCAAATGTATCTAGCCCAAGGGAGGTGGTCTGGACAGGTCCCCAATTATTCCAATCTGGGCAGCCCGGGTCATAGACCTCAACAGCCCCTTAACTATCACCTTAGGACTCTTGCCTGTCTGAGGCGAGCAGGTTTGACCTAAGATTGCCCACAAGTAACCTGACGAGTGGCTCTTGTGTAGCACGTGACCAATAAAACCGGATTGCTAGAGCAGCCAGGAAGCTAGGCCTCACATAGCACCTGCTCTGTTGCGGGACAGGATGAGGGTACGTTGATGGAGGCTGCACCAGAGGAGTCTGGTGAACAAGCGTTTGAGCATCACAGATGTTCTTGGTCCCGTGCAACCATCCACTGAGTCTTGCTAGCGATCCTTCCTCACATGCAGCCTACACACGTGACGGGGCTTTCAACAGAAGTGGGGCTAAGCAGCCGACTTGGGAAACGAGTTGACAAAGACAGGCTTGCTCCAGGGTGACTCATCCTGTCCGACTTACTTCTTCCCGTTGGGCCAGTTCCCACGGACGGGCCTGTGCTCCCAGTCTGTGAGGACTCGCTCCCTGTCCGTGAGCGCTCCTGGTTCTCTTCACTACGCCAGCTGGGGTGTCTACAATAGAAAGGTGGAAGAAAGTCTGATCAAACTGTAATGTCCAGTAAGAACTGGGTGTGGGGCTGGCGGAGAGAGTGGGCAAAGGGCCCCTCTGCACCCCAAAGCTGGGAAAGGCAGTACAATTGCTTGGCACGTCCCATCTGCTGATCTCAAGAGAGACAGCAAAGGAGGGCTATCACCACTACCTTTCTTTGACAGATGGGCAATGTGGAGCATAGAGATTAATAGATTTGCCCAAGGCGAAACTAGAACTCATGTCTCAACTCCCAGGCCCAGGCCCTACCCACTGGACAAGGCTGCCTCTCTTCAAAAGTCACCCAAGAGAGAATCAAGCCCATCATCTTCTGACAGTACAAGTCAAGAAGGTACAGCTGCCTCGGTGACTAGGACATAGCAGGAGCCCACTACTAGGGCTGACCAATCCTTTTAGGTTTACGGAGCCGCCTGGAATTCTAACAAACGTATGGCCTTTGACAACATTATTCCAAAGGATGAAAACAACCAGACGTTGCAATATTACACAGGGGAACAGTCACATCTCCAGCACCCTTTATCAGAGGGGTACACAGCTTTGCAGGCGTGTTGAGACTCAGCAACCTAGTATGCACAATTTGGAAGAAGGATGTGGTGAGTGGGGCAGCGTGCACACCAGACAACCACCAGGTGCAGTCAGGGAGCTCACGTACAGAGCTGCTCCCGATAGTGTTCCAG